GCTCTTCCGTTCCATCAGGAATAGGATGAACAGAGCGAGGAAGACCCCATCCTATTTTGTGTTAGTGGAGACAGGATTTGCTTCCAGCCTCTGTTTTCTCCTCTTGTATTTTTGTAACATGCTGTGCCAAAAACATCTGTGCTATAGGAAGATTCATTGCCAGCCACTGAAAGTGCAGCTCCAACAAAAAGTTACTGGTGTGTCTATAAATAGCTCCTGTGACAGCAAGAAAATTAAAATCTCAAGTTCATCCTTGACACAAGCTCTTTAAACAGAAGAATGAGGCACTCTCGCCTTAAAAGCCTGACAGGGGTGTTGGTGACATCCTTTTAGAACAGAAGTACTTAGGTCTTACAGAGATTTTACTGCCTTTTACCGAGCAAGATGAATATATTGACTCCCGTTTCACCGACCCGCGGCACGGTGACATTTGCAGGTCAGGCAGCAAATCAAGGGCGCGGTGCTGTGCCTCTGAAGAGGCTTTGCAAACGTTTCCCTTGTTCAGCCTAAGAGCTACTTGCTGATGTGTTCAAAGCACCTGACGGGGATTTTTCGATTGATGAGACAGTGCCAGTAGTTCGCTCTAGGTGTAGCTGCAGAGATGTCACCTACCCCGCGGTGACGAAGGCGTGCAGCAGTGCCGTGTGACAGTGATGCTGCCCGGAAGATGCTGCCCAGGCTCAGCTAAAAATTGTCCCTAGCGCATCTCCCCAGCAGCATCGCGGCTCTGCCGCAGAGCGGTGCAGCTCCCGCTCCGCCCTGCAGAGCCCAGCCGCCCAAACCTCTCCCAGCGCGCGCCCGAGGGACGGGTGCCTGCAGAGCCCCCGGGAACGTACCTCCTTCTGGTGTGGGGAACTCCTTAACTTCACTGCGTGGCCCATCTCCTCTCCCGTTGGTTACAACCATCTCAAGCTTGTAGTTGCTGTAAGGAAACAGCCGGGACACTATGCCCCGGTTTCGGTCTCCAGGAAAACTCACATACTGCCGTTTTTTGGAGACCCACAGGTTCTTCAGCAAACTACTGTCTCTCCAGAAATAGGCCTTCAAGAAACATGCATGGCAAGTGAAGCTTTTCCCATTTAAGTGCAATTGATTTTTCATTAACAAAGCATAGCAAAACTTTGCCTTTCCAAAGAGCAGCCCTCAGCTGCAGAAGCCTTTTAGAGCAATTACTGAAGCTCCACATCCCCCCAGCGAGGCAGGTCAGCGGTGTTACCCGAGGAAGAGGCTGAGCGTGGGGTTAGGTGCCTACCAGAGGTCACAGAGCAAAACCAGCTAAGCTCAGACTACAAAGAGCCGTTTCTGGCTGCCGAGCGCTAGGCAGCGAGCGACTCTCCCTTTCCACCCAGATTAGCACCGTAGCGGTGGACAAGGAAAGGTGGGACGCGTCCAGGCGCAAAGGAAAGTCTGAACTTGGAACGTCTCCCATTTGAAGTCCCGACTGTAAATCTTATTTCATGCAGAAATAAGATTCATTCAGAAAATAGACCAGAATGACAGAGCAGAGGCAGAAAAAAATGAAAGCAGTACCCAGGGAGCTTTCTTTATGCCCAGCGGATTATCGGATTTGAAATGTTATAACTGCCTGCAGGACACGCGCTTTTGGTAACCTCTTAAACTCTGATAGAAGGGGCTCTGTCCAGACTTTTACTTGTTTTGAACAGGGTCTATCCTCTGTACAGAAACACTGGTATTTTACCTTAGCAGTAAACAAACAAACAGGATCCATGCCGTCTTTAGTTGCCAGTTAGTACGAACCGCTGGGTTTAGGCTTTGCAGGGGTTGGTGTTCATGAAAAGACAGTGTAGGTACTTTGGGGATGACAAAAACTGGCCTGTTTGTACCTATCTGAGGTCATTCCCCCCAGAGCCAGCCAGCCGGTGGGTCTGGGCAGCTCTAGAGCCCGGAGACATCTCGCTGCATGGGCAGGACCACCCCAAGCCCCTCTCTGGGTGCACAAGGGCAGCCCCACTCGCTTTGTCTGGGCACCCCAGATCCTGCGGGCAGGCACTGGGAAAGGCCAGCCCAGCACCAAGCCCTGGGGGAGCAACAGGAGATGTCCCCAGCCCCGTCCAGGCACCACAAAGAGCAAACCAAGGCCCTTCATTTCTGGTGCTGCTCCAAAAGGGTCCCGATGGCCGGAGGAGAGTTTTCTGTCATCCCCATCGCAGGCAGCTCCATCACCGGGGCCACCCCGGCTTGTGAGGTTAGCTGTATTAATGGTCAGTGCGGAAGGGAGTTGGTTTTGCTCACTCTGTACTCCTTGAGCTGTCCCTGGATGGTGTCCAGGTGCACCCGGGTCCAGGTCAGAGCAATGGCAGTGCTGTTTAACACTCTTATCCTAACATCTGTAGGCGCAGCCTTGGGATCTGAGCGTTCAGGGATAAAGCAGAGTGTACGTTAGGCACCCAGCAGTGCCCTGGAGGTCAGACAGACAGACGGACGGACGCCCCTCTGCCCCCCTCGCCCTTGCCGTGGTTCTGCTGCTGCTGCAAAGCGGGCGAGCAGCGGCCCTGCGTGCTGGCTCTGCCGCCTGCTGGCATCCCGGCCGGCCCTGTCTGCCGGCAGCGCTTTCATGGGAAGAATCATCTCCTTTTCTCCCTCCTTAAATTCAATTTCTGAGGATTTCCAAACTTGAGAACAGAAAACAGGAGCATCAGGCCAACTCTCAGCTTTCTGGCTGCTCTCGTTTGGGGTGAGCAGACCCTACAACCCTGCAAATACATGGAACAGCATCACTTACCTCCGTCCCCCTCACTTTCTCCCTGACATGCATGCTTTAAAAGCTGACTATTGTTTTTTTAGCAGTGCTTCCACAGGAAAGAGGGAAAAAACCCCCATATTTCACTCAGCCAGCCAGCACGAGAATATTCGTGATCCAGTTAATAGCAGGGCTTCCTACACGCTGCTGCAAGAGATGACGTTAGCAGCGAGGACGGGGTCTGGCCCCGCTCCGTCTCCGAGCGCAGGGTAGCACAGCGTGACTCTGCCGAGGGCAAACCCAGCTCGCTCCGGCTGCAGCTGGCTGGCCACGGCTAGACCCGAGAGTTACAAAACTGCCTGTTATTTCCACATCTGTTAATCTGAATTTGGCCAGAACCTGCTGTTGATCCAGGTAGGTTTTTTACCTCCTCTTTACAAGTCACCTGCTTGTATGTAGAAACCTGCAGTTATTTGTGAAGCAATTCAGACATGGCAAGGCAGGGTTTTTGGTTTGTTTTGTTTTTTAACTTGTCCCACCCCTTGGGATACAGGCAGGAACACATTTGTGTCTGGGGTGTGATGCGAGAGCTTTGGTCTCCCTGGTTTACCTCCCTGTAAAGCACACATGTGCAGGTTCATTCAGATCCTCCCAAAACTCAAAATTATTGCCCAAGTTTTCAACTGAAACTAGAAAAAAAACCCCACCCTGGCAGTGCACAGACAGGTAATGCAGAGATGACGGTGGTCAGGTGTTTGGGGAGCTTTCCCAGTAACAGCCTCTCAGCTAGCTCCAGCTTTGCTTCCAGCGCTCAGCTCTTACCCTTGCTCCCACCGTTTCTGCCCGTTTTCCTTCCCGTTGCCCTGTCTCCTCTGGGAGAAGTGCCCAGGCGGAGGATGTGTCGTGCGTGCTCTCTCAGCACCAAGATTGCAGATTTTCTTGAAATTGCTGTGCCCTGTTTGTGCCCCCTTGACTTCAAGCCTAGAGTGATGGGTGGTTAGCTGGCTTATCTACCTTACTTCTTGGTGAGCCTTAAGTCCCACAGCCAGGGACCCCCACCGATGCTGCAATGCAAGGAACTAATATATATTTCTTTAAAACAAAAGCTGTTGGCAGCAAACCACATTATCCTAACAGGAGAAGGATAATCGTAGTTCAGAGTCTTGGATGCAACAGGCACAGGAGGTGATACCAGTACCCCAGAAAGAAGGTGAAAAGAGAGGTAAAGCAGCTGGCCGCTGTTCTGCATGACCAGGTGGAGAGTTTTAAAGAAAGATAAGCTGAGCCAATGGTGTGTTGCAAACAGGAGCCCAAGCTGGGGCTTAGCTGGGGCCTTATCAGAGAGGCCCAAGAATCCAGTTCAGGACGAACCAGGGCCCTTTTGGCCATTCGCAGCACCTCTCATCTGAGATGAACTTGGTGCTCTGCAGATGTCAGGGGCAAAAAATTTAATGTGGTTTATTGGAATAGAGCCAGAGCTCACCTGAAATGAAATCTTGCTGTCCTCCACACTCAAGAGTGTTATCAGGGTATTACAGAGAGCAAGGGAGAGGCCGAGTGACTTTTGGGTCATGCAGGCAACTGCAGGCAGAAGAGAATCTAATGGCCAAGCCTCTTTCTTCCAACGCTTGGAACTGGATTTTTGTGCCAAATCAAGCAGCGCTATGAACATGTCCTGGGCACAGGTGCCAACCCACGGACCTTGGGTGGGATCCTGCCCTTCTGAAACACTTACGATCTCTGGCTGAGAAAATACTCACAATCTTCCCCTGAATAGCCGATGACGGTGTCAGGCTCCGGTGCTCTACCAAAGTCGTTCTCTGCCTGCACTTTGATCTCGTAGGGGACGTAGATGGGCGTGTTCCAGACGACATGCCTCGGTGCCTTCACCGTCTCATTGTACCAGCTCCCTCGGGGGTCCCTTCGCCTCCATCTCACGATGTACCTGAGGTTGGGCCCATAAGCTTGAGTTGCATTCAGAGGCTTAATGGACCAAAACAGAAAAAGGAAGTGAGAAGGAGAAAGAGCAACTCTATTTCTCTGCCGTGGAGCTCTCAAAAGTTCTGTTCGGCAGCTGGTTCTTATTTCATGCTCCATCAGCGAATCTCAAAGGAGGTCAATACTTTTGTTCCCAGAGAGAGACATACCCAGTCCTTGCCCTCCAGATCCAAGGCAGGACCAAGAACCATATCCTTATATTCCAGTCCATACTCCCACTGCAATTGCTATCCTCCTTACAGATGCTGGCTTATTTGTGGATGACACCTGCTGGTCCACGAAGAAAAAAGCAAGAGCTGGTCTGTAAGCCCTATATATCAGACTCTCTGAGCATCCTCCCTAACCTGTATCTGTGATCCAGCATCTTTTCTTTGGCTTACGTAGTTGCAAATTATTGTTTTTATCACAAACCTTCTTCTAGGCACTAACAATGGCCTCCCTTGTAGATGCATCTTCTGCTTTTTATTTCCTTCAGGATCGATTATTAAGGTTATGGTATTCTGTGTGGTGCATCACACACGCTAGAGGTGCCGAGTTCTCTGCATCTTAGCATCTGTGACCGTAATGGTAAGATGCCGGGTGGCTGTCAAGCATCAAAGAAGAACTCACCGTCCAGGTGATCTCCATGTTGTTTTTTTGGGTCCCTGCACCTTGAACTCCTGTTGGGTTAATTTCAGGACCTGAAATTCACATTGGAAAAAAAAAAGGCAGTTTATAATGTTGAAAAATGACCATTTGAGTGGTTAAAAACCCTTTACTGTGCAAGCCAAAAGTACTTCCAAGACAGAAGTTAATGCCCTGATTTTTCCAGAAGTTCCCATTCAGGTTAATGGAACATGAGACTCTCAGCACTCTTGAAAACCAGGCCATTTATTTAGGAGCCTCTTTTTTTTTTTTCCAAAATGTCCTAAATCTTTGAAAGGCAGCCATTGTGAAGCAACCCCAGGAGCCCAGCCTGACACTTTTGAAATCTGAAACAAGAAGAGTAATGCCGAAAGCCAACACTAGATGCCAGTAGATATTGCAGAAGTATCTCTGCAATGGTTAAACTAAGAAATGCAGCAAAACTACTAAGCTGCTTATGAATTCCTCCTATGAATTTTCCCAAGTATTCTACAAGGTACAAAGCACTGGGCACACAAACTGAAGACCCGAGTCTTGGTCGCGGACTGGAGCACACTTTACTCCTGCATCGATCTGGGCTCCTGGCCAGCCCTAGCAGTGGACAATGAATTAGCAATTTTGGAACAAAATGCCTTTTGCTCGTGGCCTGTTTACACTTGAGTCTAATTTTCCAAGAGACTTCTGAGCTTCCTGTGGTCAGAAGGGATGAAAGACTTTCTTTAGAAAGCTTCTTTGTAAGGTGAACCCGGGCTTTCCTTCAGCAGGTTCTGCTGGAGGGACCTTTGCGTAAATCTTTCCATTTGAGTTTTGCTGCTCTGCAGAATCTCAGTCATAGGCCTGAGGATGTGCTATATAAAGTTACACCCCAGCACATACATGGACCAGCTCATTCCCTCACCTGTGTAAATCTGTTTCTGCTATAGGAGCTGTGATCATACGTCACGAGTCTACATGGAGAGCGGTACCCAGATGCTAAGAACAATGTCAAGTCACCGCAGCAAGATGGAGCGGGTGGACGGTACTCACGTGCCCCGTTGGTCTGGTATCGTTCGGAGGGCACGCTGGGCAGGCTGCTGCCCACGTCGTTCACCGCAATCACCCGAAACTGGTAGTTGACGTAAGGAGAGAGGCTCAGGACGGCCGAGTTGACGCTCCCAGGGTACCGGGAGTGGTTATGCCACATGCCAGGTTGGAACCGGTCCTCCTCAAACTGGACAATGTAGTCTGGGGGAGAGGATGGAGAGGTGGGGTTAAGGGCTCAGCTCACAAGGAAAGCTTTCCCTCCACCGTGCAGAAGAAAGCAGGAGGGATACGGGGCAGCGGGTCCGGCAGCTGACCTGTGATGGGGCTGTTATTGTCATCTCCGGGAATCCACGTCAGCCGCACGCTCCTCTCGGCCAGGTCTGTCAGCTCCAAGTCACGGGGCCGGTCGGGGCGTTCTGTTGGCCAAGTAACGAAACAAATTAGGCTGGGATCGTCCAAGGAGCTGGGAGTCCCAGTTCCCATCCCTTCTCCCGGGAGGGGAAGCCCTGGCTGGGTCTTAGTCCAGACCCGTGGGAGGACACGTGCTCTGTGGCACGATTCACGTCCTGCAGCTCTTGGTGGACCAGTGCAGTTTTTTAAATACAAATGTGCTCACACACTAATTGTGCCTAGCCTTGAAACGCTACCTGCTCCCTGTACAACTGATGTTATCTGGTGGTGGAAGCACGATGTAGTGGCTTGGCAGGGGGCTACATGATCTTACAACAAACTACACACAGGTGTCCGAAAAATAAACGCAAACAAATAGAATAGAAAGGACACAAAGCCTCAATGAAAATACAGACTTGTTAGAAACGCTCTGGGCACAATTCTGGTTTCTTTCTCTGGTCACAGCCCACATGGTCGCACAGAACCAGCTCATGCAATAACCGTAACGGTAATAACTTAATCCAGGTAAAGGTCAAGGGATTCGGTGTGATTTTTTTCCTCCCATCAGAGCTCCCCATTTCCAGGTATGGGTAAGGGGATTCTTGCACTCAAGAACTGGCGCTGTGGGACACGAAATGCTGTGACACAGGACCTTTCTACCCACGGCCATCTGGATGGGCTTTCAAGGACAACGTGGACAGGACTTGGAAGCATCAGCTCCCAGCTTTTTCAACCGCTACGCCCAGATTTTCTGTTGGCGTTATTGGCAAGGCAAAACAAAAGCAATTTACAAAATAAAATAAACCCAATGAATTAGTGATGATTACCTTTCGGTAAGTCCCTCAAACGGTTAGCAGGGACAGCTGCAAGGTAAGACATTGGTTGTTAACGATGTTAGTTTAGTCATTAAGCTTGGGTGGCCAAAGGAGCACCTGGCAAATATAAAGTTACACACACAGTTACAGATTTCAGAAGGATCTGATCCTGCCTGGGGACCAGAGGAGGTACGTCCTTCCCCCAGGGACCTCCAGGCACGCCCTGCACACCTTTATTCATCCTTCTAGTGCATGGCAAAGGGGAAACATCAGCCTGCTATAGAGTTAATTAGCTATTAGGGGAAAAGGAAGGGAAATAAATCAAGCCTAGTCAAATTATTAGGGATACGAGATTCCTATTGCACTCTGACTTTTGCAGGGCATTGCGGGTCTACGCCAGCGGCGCTGGCAGGTTGGGGCACTCCCGTGAACGCAGCAAGATCTGAGGTGGCCAAGAGCAGGGACCGATAAATCTGTGTTTTGCCAGTAGATCTCTCAGTGTACGTAAATGGGAATGGGGAATGGGTTTAGGTTTGTCACTCCCCACATTGAAAAGGGGACCTGCAAGGCTGGGAGTGGCTCGCTCACCCCCTGGTTTCCAGTGTTGCTCAGCAGCCTGACATTCAGTTAAATTCACTTGCAAATTTAGGAGTGTTCTCACAGAGCTTCAACATCCACATTTGGATATTTTTAGCTGTGTGTAATAACTAGTCTTTTTTTTTTGGTCTCAAATGCAAGTTCCCTTCGACTCAAATTCAATGCCATTGTCTGAGACTGAGATTAGGCAGCACGTCCTTGCCGAGTCCTGCAGCAACGGAACAACCGCCCTGCCAGCATCTCCCAGAGCATCTCTGCTTCAGAGGACGGTTCTGTGATCGCAGATCACCCTTTCAGTTTGACCTTGCAGTCAGTCTGTTGTATTAAAAATAAAGCACTTAGCTCTGCGTCGGTAGGTTGGGAGGACAGCTTTACCTAGGACGGTGAGGTACGCTTTAGCTGAGTCCTTGTCCAGCTCCGTGCTAGCTACGCAGGTGTAATCCCCTTGGTCCTTTTCAGCCACGCCATATATTGTCAGACCATCATCTTCTTTCTTCATCCTTAAAGGGATAAGAGCAATAATCACACAACTCTGCCTAAGCACACTGGGCACCAGGATGGAGGCCTAACGGTTCTCTGATGAAATACATAAAAAAGCCCAAACCGAACAGGAGTACGTCTCTGGTCTGAAGATTTTATCAGCTAAGGATGTGTTGAGTTATTCTTGGAAACCTCATTTCCTGAGGAATCAGCGAATGCGCTCTGGTTTATATCTGGAATAATCACACTTTTAGGAAAACAGGCTGACCTCCGGCTGGCTCGCGTCCCGTGATCAGATCTCACTCCACGAGAAGGGACTCAGCTATGGAAAGGAAAGGACAACTGTACTGCTCACAGCAGATAAGCATTAATTGTGAAGCAGCTTGTTATTGACCCACTCGCTTTATCAAGATGTCCTAAAATATCTGTAAATAAAACCTATAGTCAAAGTCTTGATTTACTGATAAGTCAATTTTAATTGCTAGGCAATGTCTGTTGGAAGGAGCTGGTAACATTGAAAGTATCCAGAACAGCAAATGTTGCCTAGATGGGAACTCGGCGTTTGTCCATATTACCCCTGGTGACTCCTGAAACGTTCTTTAGAAGTCCGACAATCCTGGAAGAGAAGACCCACGAAACTGTTAAACCCAGACCTGTTTCCAATGTACAGGGGTGCATCGTCTTTCAGCCAGGTGACCGTGAGCTTCAGCGTGGGGTCGTGCTTTACGCGGCAGTGGAGGCGAGGCATGGAGCCCCTCTTCACCACCTGATCTTCTGGGCCTCTCACGATCCGGGTTGGGTCTGCACGAAGTCAGAACGAAAGCGTTAAGCACCAGACTGCTGGGTCTTAGCTCAGGAGCTCAATGAAGAGCGGAACTGTCTCTGATACAAATGCTTGCAAAAAAATTCATTTAACAAGCCATTAATTTATGCTGACTCTTTAAAAAATGCCCAGTTTTCTGAGTCAGCAATCAGTTTTGCTGAACAGTGGAAATTTGATTCAGAAGATGTTTTATTGCCATCAGTTAACCCCGAGGAACACTTTGTATTTCTTTTTGCGTTGCTTATGGCATCTCACAGCTCAATACCCACACCAAGCCCTTCTACAGCTTCAGTGTATCCACAGCCTTGGTGTTTTCCGACATTAAAAGGGAATCTCTACCATTTTCTGGATTCCAGCTCCAAATTCTGTAGTGCCTGTCCTGCTGACAGACTGCTGGAGCGCACAACCAACCCTCCCTTAACCTAAATTATTATTTCTTCTGCAAGATTGAGAAGATCCAAGAGACCATTTTGACCTAAAGCCCTTCGTGCCCCTACCTTTGACCTCCAGGCGAACCTGGGCCTCCGCTTTACCCAGGATGTTGGTAGCGACACAAGTGTAGATGCCCTGGTCCTCCTTCCGAGCCATGTTCATCTCCAAGCTCCCATTCTCATGTGCCTTGTAGTTTCCTCCGTCCAGCGTGTTCCCCTGGCCGTTCTTAAACCTCACAACACCACAAAGTGCTGTTGTAAGGGAAGAAAGAGGAGGAAACCTCCCCTTCCCACCCCTCCGGACTGGCAGGGGACGCGCTGCAGCTCTTACCATCTCAGGGTGGGGATCGGCGAGCCAAAGAAGGGGCAGTCGAGTCGGGTCCTGTTGTTTTGAATCACCTTGATGAGCTGATTGCGGGGGGCCAGTATCCGCGGAGGCACGTCTGCAAACAGCAAAAATCACAGCTATTGAGAAAGAAAAGAAACCAGTTTCCAGACTGCGTGCTCCCTTTTCCAGTCTTCATCCACCTTCCCTTGTCTTTTGTTCACTCTTCCTTGTTGGCACTTTCAAGACTCAGTAGAGCTTCTCCATTCCCTCTCATCCCTCCTTCCCTTTCTAGCCTCGCTACATGAATCAGCTTACATCTTAGCGCCAACAGGACTTGCTCAGCCTTGCCTGGCTTTGCAGGTCCATGGCAATGGACTTCTGCTCCAAAGCCCTGTTGCAGACGTCACGTACCTCTGTGCATTAGCCTCAGAGTAGCTAACAACAAAGAGGAATGCAAATAGAGAACTCCTGCAGGGAAAACTTGAGTATAGGGTGTTCACCTTCCATAAGGACTTACCCAGGACGCTGACAAAGGCATTGGCGAGAAGGTAGCCGTGCTCATTGGATGCGTTGCATTGGTACACAGCACTGCTGCCGATCTGGGTATCTCGAAATACAATGGTGTCTCCAGACACCTCTCGGCTCGGGTTGGGGGGAGAAGCTTCAAAACAGAGAGCACTCTTTAAACTAAATTTTAAATTAAAATTCACAAGACTCTCAATATCATTACGCATCTTTCCGTCTCAGCCCAGATAACACCAGACGATAGTACGTGACCTCCCCAGCCTACAAAGACACAGTTCAGCTGGCCTTGTCTCAGACAAGCAGGTGGTTTACGTGCTGCGATGCCGGAGCCCACGCACACCGCTCAGCGGGGTGCCTGGCACCCCGACAGCAGCTCTGGCTCTCATGGTCAGCCACGAGATCCTTGGCGAGGCTTTTTGTAAAGGAGGTACAGATTCTGCCTTGCTCACCTTCTATAGGCTCCCCGTCCTAGGGCCCCCCCCCCCCCCAGCCACTGTATCGCAGGCTTGGGGTTCCCGTTGGCTCGACACACCAGCCTGCCATCCTCACCAGGGGCCAGAATGAGGTTTTGGGGTTCATCCAACCAGTATGGAGCAGCTTTAAAATACACCGATGCACCAGTTATAAACGCAGCAGTATTCTTCGAAACCCCGCTCCCTGCCTGCACGCCGCTGAACTAAGACATGAAAACACCGTCCTCTCGAGTGGGCTTTTTGGGTGCAGTGAGAGTGAAGAGCCCTCGTCCCCCCTCTTTGGCCACGATCCTCCTGTTTTGCACAAAACTGCAACCATTTAGGTCAGTGAAGCTCTGCTGAGTTACACCAGCTGAGATCACACCTCGCACTGCTTTTAGGTCAGTTTGGACAAGAAGCAAGTATGGCTGGATACAGCACAGCAACAGCCCCTGCGGAAAGCCCCCGCTCCCCCTTTCAACGACCCAGAGCATCCCCTCCCGCGCGCGTCCCCTCAGCTGCTGGTTGCGAAGGTAGAAAAGATGGCAAGGTAAAGATGACGTACCCTTCACTCTCACCGAGATCGTGTGGCGGATGCTGCCCATCTTGTTCGATGCCAAGCAGAAATACTCCCCAGAGTCTTCCTCGGAGACGTTGGAGATACGAAGAGCCTTGTTAAAGTTTTCCAGCTTGGTTTTGCCTGCTGGGAGCTCTCCTCCTTTCTTGTACCACATGATGTCTGGTGCTGGTCTAAGGAGAGGGGAGGAGATAAATGCTTTTGCAAGACAAGAAAATTACTCCTAAAAACCAGCTGATAATCCTGCACTCGGAACCACTCGCGTCCAGGGAGAAGGGCTGATCCAGCTGCTGGGCCGTCCTCCTTCCTACCACAGCCCCTAAACCAGCACCCCGAGCATCACCAGCTGATCAGGAGCGGGGTCCATCTCACGCCTGGTGCTGGGGCTGCAGAGCCCCGATCTGGCAGCGTGTGCAGGCAGCACCAGGCAGCATGCCCTGGGAGCGCTGCCGAAGTCTGACCCTGAGCCCAGGACGCTTCTGCAGGCACATGGACCACAAATGTCCTCACCCGCAGTTTATACAGGGTGGTGAGGAGCATCCAGGAGATTTGCAAATAGCTCTAAGGACAAGCCAGTGGGGAATTATCCTCGGGCAGCAAGCATCTGAAGAGACCTGCTTCTCTGACAATGCCGCAAAACTCAGCTCTCCTGTTTGCTCGATGCTCTTATGCTTCAAGCAGGTTATGAGAGTATTGTCAGCAGCTAAAAGGAAGGGAACAATCCCTTTTCCTAGCCAGAGGTATTTCCACTGGTGATTCAGCATCTCGGTCCCGGGCCATCCCAGCGGGGACGGCTGGGGACCCCCCTGCTCTCCCCGTCTCCGCCAGCCGGGAAGCGGTACGTACACTCCTGAAGCAATGCACTCCAGCAAGAGGTCCACCCCTCTGAGCACCATCTGACTGCTTGAGGTCCCGTAGGGATACATGAAGCTGGGGGTTGTTTCCGTAATCCCTCGGGCTGAAATCAGCAGGAGAGAAAAAACAAACACACAAAACAAAGTGCTTTTAAACTCTCCTTTGCCACAGCAACTGGGAGGGCACATACAGGGCCAGAAATACATGGGGGGAAGCTGTCAAGTTCCCGGCGAAGCCTGGGGTACTGAACTCACCCAGAAATGTACCTGGAAAGTAGAGAAGGGCTCAAGGTAATTTTTAAAGTGAAAAAAAAAGGGGGAGAGAGAGGATGCTTGGCAGGCAGGGGGGTAAAGAAGCAGCAGAGGATGGGCAGAGGGAGCCGAGCCGCGGGGATGGTGCATCAGGAGAGTCCCTGTACCATCGGCTCCCCCCCCCGCGGCGCCCCTCCCTCCCCCCCCCCGCCCCTGACAGCAGGAACCACGAAGAAATGGGCTGAAATCAGATGAGATGTAGAAATACTGATGGACAGAACATGTAATGAGGGACAAAAGGAACAAATGGGCACAGGAAGGGTTTACTTGGGCAACTGAGCTGCTTGGCCACAGAGACCTGCGGGATACGGAGGAGCCCGGCGCTGCCTGGGGCTCTAGCAGCACAAGGAGGTTTCCCGTCCTTACGAGGAGCTGCGGGCCTGGAAGGACAGTGCCCTTTGGAAAGGAACAACTTAGCGACCAAAATGACAAATTTCAGGACTGGACAGGAAAGTTTAACAGTAGAAAACCAGGGGAAGACACAAGACAACTCTCTACAGATACACACAGCGAAGGTCTCTTTGTAGGGGAAAAAATTAATTATTAATGGAATAAATTCCATTAATAAGTGGAATTATTAAACTAGATCTAGATCAGTGAGGACAAAACAGGATGAGATGGGCTTGAAAGCAGCAGTAGCAGAGATGGAGGTTATGAGATTAGGAAATTGGACAGAATGGCCTTGTAAGGCCATTGTGTGTCTACAAATACCGAAGCGATCCGTGGGGAGAGCCCGCCCCAGTGCAGGAGCAGGATCTCAGGGTGCAGACCAAGCCCTCTCCTGCTGCCCCGACAGCTTCGTTCGCTCAGCGCGCAGGAGGCAGCCAGGCGTGCCCGGCGCCGTGGGGCTTTCGGGGATGCCCCCGTCTATTTGGGAAGCCTCCACCCGAGCTCTGGTAAGGGAAAAGGGCTGGGAAGAAGGAGAGGAGAGAGGGCAGGGGCTGCTCTGGGAGCTCCCGTCAGCCTGCCTTAGGGAAAACCTGGGACCAGGCTCACAAGGGAAAAAAAAAAACCACGCCAGGAATTAAACCGTGCCTTTGAAATGACTCCACATCTGCCGGAGCACGGCCACACACGCATCCCCCCGCTCCCCCGCACCCGCAGGTTACCGGCCCGCATGTGCTCGTCAGCGGGTTAGTCAATTATTTGATTAATGGATTACCAGGGCAGGCAAATCTTGACCTTATCCTGAAGGGCCGGTTCTCTGGGCAGGCACACGCCGCTGGTCGCTTGCCTGCTCCTGGAGAGGATCCCGTTCCTGGTTAAAACCAGCCAGCCCATGCCGGGGCTCTGCGGGGCGATGGCAGAGCCAGGGCTGGGTTTAAAGCCAGTGCTTATCAACAGCTCCCACACCTCCGGCCAGACTCGAGAACTTCTCTCTTCTCATGTGATGAGGAGAGTGGGATATTATTTTATAAGCCAATGTTGGCTTTTATTAGCCAACAGTCTGCAGCCTGTTTGAACAGGCTGTACGTTTCACTCCCACAGTGAACCCATTTGCTCAGGAGCCCAGGGCATAACTAGAAGAGATAAGCAGCAGTGCAAGCCAAATTTTACGAGCCATATATTAATGATGAAAATTAAAAATAAGGGAGATAAATTAGTATCCTATCCACTTGTTTAATAAACCTAACAACAATACTGCATAGCTGATAAGCTTTTTGCCTTAGTACAGCACTACTAATAAATATTTTGCTATTTATAATAGGGAGCAGCCAGAAATTCTCCCAGGCAGAGGTACCGTTCCAGCTCTGAACTTGCGGCAGCTACAGCTGGAAGCTGTCAGACAAATAGCAACGTCTCACTCATCTGTTTGGATGGAACAGAACTGGAAAAATAAATCCTATGGCTATTTATTTCTGCTCAAACATAGACTCTGCTTCCAATATATTGCTGCTGTTGTCCCCACCTCTGTGAAACTGGACCCGCTCAGCTGTGAGCGGGATACCCCAGGAGCAGGCACCGCTCACCCCGGAGCAGCCGAGTGCCCCCTCCCCACAGCCCTGACCTGACGGCATTTCAAAACTGTACATCAACTTGCATTTCTACTGAGAGGCGATAATAGGAATATGCACATCCAGACACATCCCATCTGTTCGCCTCCTGCACAGCTAGCCAGCTTTAAAACATCCCGCAGGTTTGCCAAAATAAAAAAAAAAAAAAAAAAAAAAAAAAAAAAAAAAAAAAAAAACTTTCATTTCCATTTTAAAAAAAGGGGAAAAACTTTTCCTAAAGACACATCCCATCTGTTCGCCTCCTGCACAGCTAGCCAGCTTTAAAACATCCCGCAGGTTTGCCAAAATAAAAAAAAAAAAAAAAAAAAAAAAAAAAAAAAAAAAAACAGACTTTCATTTCCATTTTAAAAAAAGGTGAGAAACTTCTGCTAATAAAATACTCAATTAATTCTTTTAGATCATTTCTCCTTCATAGCTACAGACAGTTTGCCTCGGCAATCAAGCAAGGCAATCATTGCACCCGCTACGAGCTGCGGGGAGAAGGGCTTGGCTGCACCTCCCGCGATCAGCCCGGCCCTCGAGTGCAGTTTGGGCCAAGTGTCCCACAAACCGCTCGCGCCCCAGGTCCACGCCAGCAGGTCCCACGTCCCCGCGGGGAGCTCGGGGACATCCATCGCAGACCGCCAGGGAAGGGGGCTCGCAGCCTCCCGCTGCTCCGCCGCGCACCCCCGGCCCGGCCCCGTGCCGCCCGGCCCATCGAGCTGCCCTGCAAGCTCTGCAGAGCCCTTTGCCAGCTGGCTCTGGAGCTGAGCCCGTACCGTAGGGACCAGCACCCCAAGATGCAGGGGCTGAGAGCCTCAAGTCTCCCAAACACCTAAAATACTTGGGAGACAGATGTCCCTCTTCCCCACTCCCCTGCCCCTAAGACTCCTTGCTTTGCTGCAGCTGGCTCCAGCGGCCAGCACAGCCAGACAGGTCATTCCAGCGAGAAACATGGGGTTAGCAGAAAGAAAAAAAAGGCCGAGGGTAAGAATTTGTTTACCAGTTCATTAACTATCAAGAAATTGTTGGTTTGGAGCTCAGATTTGCACAGGGGCGTGAGTGGGTGATTTGAATCCACCAGACCCATAAAACCTTCCAGGAGACATTAAGTGCAAATAATCCATAGAGTGTGAATAGCAGGCAGTTTATCCTATGCACCTATGACTAGAAATCTGGAGAAATCTGTAAGACTCTGCAGGTAAGATCTCATTTTCCTAACCAAGTGACTATTAAGCATCCCTTCTCCCTGAACGAAGAGGTGCAGCGGGAGATCGAGAAGCCCACGACCACCACGGTGACTTTCCCTCCTGATCCGGCGAGGGCTGCGAACACAGAAATGGTGCCCAGCCAGTGTGAAGGCATTCTCTTTGAAATGCAAACAACATTTATGCTGCTGAGGTCCAAGATATATTTACACTGGATTTCTCTTTGGTCCCTGGCCCTGTGTGCCTGCGACGGAGACATCTCCTCCCGCTCACCCCTACTTGAGGCGTGATGCAGTTTACGCAGTTCCCATTGAAGCTAATTTTGCTGGCAATCCCCTTTCACAGCCATTTCTACAAATATTTCCAGACTACGCCCAGCCCATTTGCTGCCACCAGTGCTTCCTCCAAGGGTCGCTCTTCTGTGCAGCCTTCCCCAGCTCTCCGGCATCCCCCAAAACCTCCCACTCCCGGCTGCCGGTGAGATGCCAGCACCCCGGCTCCCTCGGTGGGGAAGGGCCCCCCGCCGGCACGAGAGGGCTCTCGCCAGGGACGCCCAACCCCGTGCCCTCGCCTGGCACATCCTCCTCTTCTCACACTCCAACCCTCTCTGCTCTTAGCTGGCAAAAGCACTCCTTGTCCCCAAAAGTCCCCGTGGAAGAAGAAAACGTGCCCTGGGTTGTGCAAGGCACAAAGCGAGCTGTGGCTCTGGGTTGGAAGCTGAGCAGGATTTCGCTGCAGGGCACAGCCGGGGACCAGCACGGGGCATCGCCGGGGCTGTCCCCACCCCGCTGCCGCACAGCCCCGGTCCCCGTCAGCAGCAAGAGGGGCAGAAAGCAAATCCTGCCCAGGACAGTGCCTGGCCTTGGAGCAATCAGACTCCGCGGTGGTCTTTGGCGAGCAGTTTGCATCCCTGGCAGTGCCTGCGCTCAGCATTGCCCGCAAACAGCCCCCTCTCCCCGCTCCCCTACAAACCCCTGCTGCTGCCCAGCTCTGCCCGCATTATCCCATCACGTCCCTGACGCTTCCAATCTATTCTCAGGGCGCCGATCGTGCCCCAGGGAGCCGCGCGGTTTTCTGTCTGAAGCATAATTTATGAGTTTGGGACAGGCTTCTCCGCGCAAACGCAGGCTCCGGAGGTAATCTCCCTGCCCAGACAAAGGGCAAGAGCCTCCCAAAAGCACCCAACACATGTACAACCTCACCACAAAGAAACAAAGCACCCAGCTTTTGAGAAAACCAGATACTCCTTTTTTTTTTTCTTTTTTTTTTTTTCCTCCCAGTCGCTGCCTGTGTTTAGCCGCAAATACAATAGATGCTCTTTCTGAAGACAGAGAGAAGAGGGGTGGTGGGTCTTATCTGTAAATCATGAGCCTTTGCTGCGGCCCAGCCACCTCTTTGGCGAGGAAGCAAGCTGGGCTCACTCAGCCACGCAGACTTTTCACGTGGGCCAGATCCTATTAATCCAAATGCCTCTCAAGCTGAGCTCCGCATATCAAGTTAATTAGCTTAAAACTCAATAATTTTAAATTGTGAAAACTTTGAGGGGATTTTGTCGCTGTTTGGCTCTTTCGTCACACCCAGTTTTGCAAAGTTGCGTCTGTAACCCACGAACGGGGATGCGGGCACACAGAGGGGTGCATGGGCACAGACGAGGGGCAGGCGACGCTGCGAACGCGGCCGCTCGCTGCCCGGTTAGCGCGGGAGGTAAGTCAGGTTAGGCAGAAGGGGGTTAAATCGTGAGGGTCTCCAGAAGCCAGCGTTGACTCACCACTGTACATGTCAGTGTGATTTCGTAAAGACGTTTCGTTATGGGGTTTCTCTGCAATAAACAAAAGACCGTGAGCGTACCGAGTGCCACAAAGCGGGCGGGGGGACAGGCGGAGCGGGGGCACGGGGGACAGAAATCAAAATAACTTCCCGAAACACAAGAGCGATGCGGACAGGCAACAGCAGGGATACAAAAGCACTCTGAGCACAGCTGCCTTCCAGGACAAACAACATAACACAGCAATAAAGGAGAGGTTTTCCTCCTACAAGATGAGAAGACAAATAAAGGTATGAAAATTGTATCATAAACATTTCCTTGAAGTGTTTTTCTTTTCGGTATAAAGACATTTGCATCTTTGGGGAAAAAAAAGATCAGTTCAATTTGGAGAAGAAAATGTTTTTTCTCTGAGTTTCTTGGCTCTGAGGGAAACATATTCCAGCTACTTCTTCCCAGCATAAAGCATAGGTCGGACACAGCTAGGCAGCAGCGTAACGATGCAGAAAGGCATGGAGAAGATGAACAAATAAAAAAAATAATAATAATTAGGCTCTAAAAGCATAATCTGCTATAAATCCCTTTAATTAAGGTAATTAAAGTAGATTGTGTGACATGCAAAATACCAGCTCTTCAACAACAGGCTGCTCTCCTTTATTGACAGCCACCGCCAGCCATCGCCTGCACTCGAAGAAGAACGCTAAGAGCGCCCGCGCTCCGCGAGGCCGGGGATGCGGCACCCAAAACACTGCTCCGGCCTGTGGGAACGCCCTGCCTTCCACCAGGATGCGGCACGGCCGTGCTACGGCATCGTCTGCCCAACAGCAGATGTGAGAGCCCGTGCTGGCTACCATATAGTCGTTGCCCTGAGCCGTAAGTCACCAGCCACAGGCCGTGACTTTGTGCAAGGGGGTTAAGAGAGCCCAGCAGATGCCCGAGAGCTACCTGAACCTGGATACACCAGAGAAACGCTCTGCAGGGAAAAGCACGGGTGTATCGCTCCCCAAGCCTTTGCATTTTTCTCTTTTTGCATCCAAGGGCACGGCAACCCCACGCCATGATCTTTCAGCAGCTGGTGAACTTTTTTTTAAGGACAGCCAGTGCTCATGGCTTAAGGCTGAGATGATTGAACAGCTTGAGACAAATACAAGCTCGTCTCCTTTGAACACTGTAGGTATAAAGAATTTTTTGTATCGTAACAGCTGAGAAATTAGAGCCTCAGTTCTTTAAATTATAAGGGCCTCTGGGGAGCTCATGGGGTGGCATTTGCATCTGATAATGCAGCAGGCATTTCTAAAGGAAAACTTAAAGAGTGGGGGTCCAGTGTAACTGGGAGCCAATTCTACACAGCCTGGGAGCAAAATGTGCCGGTGGCATCTGAGTGCAGCAGGAGAGGGAGCTTGCATCTGTCTGCACAGAAATCTTCCAGGATTTCTTCACATTTTTTCTACAGACTGACAAATATGTCAGACTAAAGCCTTTGAAGGCTCAAATGACCACAGATCTTTCTTTGCCAGAATTTCTCCAGCTCACAGTGATTTAGGACTCGGTCCTTTCCTGACAGGTAAACGTTGGCATTGTTTGGCCAGCTGTGTAAACAGACAAATAATATTCAGACTGAATTACCTACACACATAATCACCATTAGCAAAGAGCCTGTTTATAGTATTTATATTGCTGATTCTCCACTCATGCTTTGCACCGAGGAGAAGCTGTTACAATAAAAGCGCAAAACCTCCAGGGCCTGTCTGCTTCTCACATCGCTTTTAGGTCACTGGTATCAGAACACTTTAATAGCGCTACTTCTAATTTAAGCTGCTGCGAGACCAGGTTAAGCTCCTAACGCTGGGATTCAGGATTGCCTCGTGCCTGCTTTGGACAAGAGCCTGCTCCCCAAAACACAGCCTTGTATCTGCCAGCACACACTCCCCCTTCCTCCCAGTCTGACCTTACTGGGAACGGGAGATGGCTCCTGTCTGATGACTGGGGCCCATAGATGCTGTTTCTGTGTCAGCTGCTGATTGTGCCGGCACTCAGCACACGCACCCCAAAAGAGAGCCCGCGCCCTGCAGGACCTGCATCGACTCCAGAGCTGCGCGTCCTGCGGCGCTCAGCTCACGTCCCCTCTGCCGGCGTCCCCGCCAGCCGGCTGCCGTGAAACGCGTTAGCGCCAGGAACTCGCCTTCCTTCAAGCAGCCCCGTTTCTAGAGAAGAGACTGCTGGAGGCTGGACCTGCCCACAGAAAGGCTCTTCACATGCCTGGAGAGAGCCACCCTCCTGTCCCCCAAGACGATGCTCTTCACCAAGGTGAAACCGAGATCTCTGGCCATCCTAAGCGTGTCCCACGTGTACACGCTCAGAGCCCAAAGGCTCAAGCCCTCCTGTCGGCACGTCCCAGAGCCGTGGAGCTAAACAGCAACTCCTGGTCAGGAGGTAAATCCGGAGCTGGCCAAGGCTGACACGCACTCAGTCCCCCCGTGCAGCACCAGCACGGCCGGTGGTTCCCTGTAAACCTAAGCCTGGAGCAAACCAAGGCTATTTCCAGCTTTTCAAACTAGGGAAAGGAAGGCCCCATCTGTGTTGAAATGGTTTCCAGTTTATCCCAGACACACAGACGTAGCAATACCTGCACCAAGCTGCCTCTGCAGCCCTTGACCCATGGAGCTGGAAAGCTCTGAGGTGCTGGAGGGAAACCAGCCCCCCCTCCCTGCCAGGTTAGCCATCCCAGGACTATCAGTCCTCATCCAAACAGGTTCCTGCACTATCCTAAACACAATGAAGGAAGCCACTCTTCTCCCTAGTAGGGCTCAGTGCTGTCAAGAACAGAAGCAAAGGTGTCTGGAAGGAAAACCCTGCCTGAGAGAGGCTAGGGAAGACCCATCCTGAGTGATCGCTGTGACACTTACTGGTTTTCACCTTGAGGGTGTAGGGGTTTTTCTGCTGAATGGTGTGGGTGAAGTGGAAGCGCGCGTTGCAGCTGTAGTCGGTCTGGGCGTCCTGCAGCATGACGTTGGAGAAGTACAGGTCGCCGTTCTGGCCCTGGGAGACGCGCTTGTCCTGGTGGATGGGCTCCATGGCTGCAGGAGAACAGGCATTCGGAGCAAGTCAGCTCCTCCCGCGGGAGGAGAAACCCCTGACCCAGGCCACATGTGGCTGCCTCCCAGCTCTGAACTAGCAGTAATGACCCTAAACTTGGTTATTCGAAATAAAGACTGGAGGTGACGGAAAGGCTGCCCACAGGGTTCAGGGTGGGAAGGGGTTCCCCCGACTCACAGCTGCTCATCCAGAAGATGACGGGAGAGGGCAGGCCAGGCGGCGGGTTGCACTGCAGGCTGAGCGGGGCGCCTTCATCCACCTCTATCACATCCACCTTCTCCTTGGGCCACAGGGGAGACTCTGCCATAAGAAGTAAAGACACCGCATGAGGAAGGGAGGGCAGTAACTTTGCAGATCTCTTCCTGCTGGACCTGGCCTGGTTTCAATGGAGCGGCCTCAATGCAAACTTCATTTCCACGTGTGCAAGATTCCCTTAAATCTATACCGAGTGTTTCCCTGTTAGCTACAGCCATAACCCCCACGCCTTCATCTCAGTCCTGTGGCTGGATACATCCCGACACAGGTAACAGATGAAGCAGGCTGAGATGTTTGAGCACTGGATATTCTCCGTGCCTCTTTGACAAAATCTCATACGATACAAATATCCCTGCTCTCCTCGGGGCACGGCCGGCTGCTTGCCCTGCACCACTGCCATTACTTACTAGAAACCTGGAGGTGGATTTTGCTGGAGAGAGCAGTGCCATAGTCATTCCGGGCGAAGCACTGGTACTCGCCCTCGTAGTCCTCTGGCCGTCCCCCGCTGTGGAAATCGATGACCAGCGTCCCTGACCGCCGCCGCATGGACACCTTGGGGTCCTTCGCCACGTTGAAGAACTTCCCGTTCCGCGTCCAGGAAAAACTGCAAGCACGGGGGAGCGGTTGGGGTTGTGACCATGGGCCACATTTACCTGGTGAGATCCTTACCTGTGCTGTGCCAGCCAACAGCTGGGTTAGCTGATGGTGTAAATGGCGCAGCTCGAGCGGAGGGGAGCTCCTCCGGAGCCAGCTCGAGCGAACAGCAGAGCTTCAGCGTAACAAGGGCAGCAGAGGCACTTACGTGGGAACGGGGTTCCCTTTGGCTTCACATTCAATGAAGATGTTATCCCTCGGGTCGACGATGTAGTCCTTCACGGACTGCTTGGTGATTGTGGGGGGCTGAGGCACTGCAAGACAAATGAAAAGCCGTGAGGAGGGTGGTGCAAAGAGGGTAAATGCCCTCTCTGCCATCCTGCAGCACATCCTGATGGGATTTCAGCATCTTCCTCAGGCTGGGCATGCAATTTGTGGTTTAAAGCCCTTCAACACCTGAGGAAATGACCATGAGCACTGGTGGGGGTGTGCTACTCGTCACTTCTTGGACCATCAGCACTGACTCCCGTTCGTTTTCTCACGTGGTATCTTGGTCTCATTAAGAAATTTCACAGGTACATCTTCCTGCTACCGCAGGTTGTCTGAATCAGACATCATCCTGGCTGTGCACCCCAAAGACAGGGGCTGCAGCTGGGACGGGGAGCCAGATAGCCACGGCAAGACGTTCACAGGCTCTCCCTGTGCAAGACAGAGGCTCAAAACCTCCCAGGTTCACCCCGACGGAGCGCAGCACTGGTGTTTAGAAGGGCAGGGCTTGTGAAAAGGGGCGCATGAGCCCAGCAGCCAGTGTAGGACCTGGCTCTGGTCCTGAACTCTGAATTCAAAAGCTCAGTCCCATGGCTGTCCTGGAACAAAGCCGCTCAGGTCCGAGGCTGTTTGCTCTCCCCCTGAGAGCTACCAATGCGGCAAACGTGTCAGTACGTGGAGCTGGGCATGGCACATGCGCTCGTGCAAGGCAGAGGAGCCTGCTCTCCTCTGAAATGTGGCGTTAGCAACAACAAGCCCCTGCAGAAACAATATTTGCATCGCAAAGACAGTCTGGTTCCTGCTCCAGGGAAAGCAGCAGAGCCTAAGCACTCCTCCCAAGCTGCTCCAGCACCTCCCGTGTCTCTCCCGGCCATGCCTGGCTGTGCAGAAGTGGCTCCCCCCCCCCCCCG